CAGGGGCTGCTGGTCAGGAGTGAGGGGCACCGTCAGGGCTGGGCTGGCAGGGGCTGTGGGTCGGGAGTGAGGGGCACCGGCAGGCCTGGGAGGGGGGCAGGGCTGGGCTAGCAGGGGCTGCTGGTCAGGAGTGAGGGGCACCGGCAGAGCTGTTGGGGGCAGGGTTGGAGTAGCAGGGGGCTCCGGGTCGGGAGTGAGGGAACTAATTTAATGTTCCCTGGTTCCAGGGGGTGAGATTTTGGGGGATTGTGTCAATCGCCTGGATAAACCTTAATAAATAGGTTTAACACCTTTGGGTCCGTTGTATTTAAAATGTGGCTGTGTATGTGGATATGTCAACACTTACAATGCCAGTGGTGCAGCTTCGGTGGAGGCAGGGAGGAGTTAATCCCGTCCCGGGGCGCTGTCTGCACCGGGGTTAGGTCGGCTTGCTCTGGGGAGTGGATTTTTCACAGCGCTAAGCAACCTGTCGCTCTGACTTCTCGGTGTAGCCCAGGCCTGGTGTTGCAGAGTTGTGTGTATGTTCTCTAGTGGGGGAGGTGCTAATGTAATTCTTTCTTTATCAGCCCTTCGAAGCCAACTCCAAATCCAGTTTGCGCCCAGGCAGTAGCTCAAACTGGATTCTTCACTGACCAACAGACACAGAATTTGTGGATAAATTGCCTTGTTTTAAACTGGCTCAAGGCCTTTTTCCTGATCCAGCCAATGGACAGGTCCCGGTCCAGAGAGGGCCCCAATCCTTTGGGTACAGGGAAAGGCCGATAGGCTGGGTGGCTGCTGAGCTGAAGCCGGGCTGAACTTGTGACCACAGAGGAGACCCTTGGCAGGGGGTGAAGGGCGTGTCGGTTCTTGGGGTGTTGTGCGGTGACCTGTGAAGGAAAGAACTGGGGCTCCCTCGCTGCCAACAGTCACTCTGTGCCCGGCAGCCTGTCGCTGGGACTCGCAGGGCCCCGGGCAGTCTGCGCAGGCGGGGGAGATGCGGGTCTCGCCCACGAAACGCAGCTGCTGGGAGCTGCTGAGGGGAAACACAGGAGCCGTTGGCCCCGACTCTCCAGGGAAACGCAGCTTGGAGGCCTCACCCCTGTTCTTCTGTTCTAGGCCAGTGGGAGCTGCCCGGAGAGACAGCTGGGTTCCCGGCAGCCGCGCCATGTTTGACGAAGGGGGGTGGAACAAGGAGGATGGCGGGGAGGCTCTCAGCCAGGCTCTCCTGCACCCTCGGTGCCGCCCTGCCCAGCGCTGCCCCCCGGTGAGCCCCCCTGTCCTTCCAGAGACGTGGACTCACCTGGTGGGTGGCCCGGGCCGTAATGGGGGCGGGGGCTGGAGCTGAGGGAGGGTAAGGTCCGTGGGCGGGCGAGAGGGATGCCTTTTGCCTCAGGTGGGGGTGGGACCAGTGTGGATCCCTTGGGCTCCCATAGCTCTGGGGGCAGCACTGACGCCCCTGCTGTCTCCAGCCTCCCAGAGGCTCCTTGCACAAGCAGCGCAGACGGCTCCTCGCGACCCTGCAGCGCCTGGAGGCTTCGAGCTGCACGGAGCCTCCTCAGAGCCCCGGGCCCCTGTCGGGGGACAGCGAATCTGAGTCTGACTCTGCGGACCGGGCGGGGAGGAAACAGCCCAGGAAACAGAGACGGGGCCTGAAACCCAGAGCTGCCTCCTCCCCCCGTATCGCCCAACGGGCTCCAAGCGGCTCCAGCGCTCCCCAGGCAGGGCCAGAGCCAGACCCAGCTGGCAGGAGACGGAGGAGAGGTACGGAGTAGGCTGGCACAGCTCCCCTCCCAAGGGACTGCAGAGTGGGGGGGGTCCAAGTCGCATCTCGGGAGCTTCCTGCAGGGAGATGCACTCGCCTGGGGCTACATCTCCGGAGGTGGGACCGGCTGGGGGCGACTGGCGCTGGGCCTGGGGTTTGCAGGCAGGGCTGCGTGGTGCAAGCTAGCCCTGGAGCAGGGGGGCTGGATGGACTCTACCCTGAATCCCTTGATCTGTGCGCACTGAGCGGGTGCCTCACACCAAGGCCAGGCCTCCCAGGCCCATCCCGGTGTTGCTGTGTCACTCGCGGGTGAAAAGTCCAGGCACTGGGACCGACCTGACCCCTGTGTAGGCAGCGCTGCCGGCGGGACAGGCAGGCTGAGTGCGTCCTCGGAGCGTCCTCACCAGAGCTAAGTGGCGTGGGGGCCGCTGGGCCGATGCAGCGGTTAAGCGTCGACCTGCCTGTCTCTCGCCCTAGATTGTGCAGCAGAGGCCCCTGGGGACAAAGCGCGCACGCCCAGCAAAGAGCCGCCGAGCCGGGAGCCGGGCGCAGCCACTGGCGGGCCTGGTCCAGTGCTGAGCAGGAAGCAGTGGAGGAACAAACAGAAGAATAAAAGGCGACAGAAGAACAAGTTCAAAGTGGGCGTGGGGCTGGATGTGGGGCAGAGCCTGGACTTGGGGCTGGATGTGGGGCAGAGCCTGGGCGGGGGGCTGGATGTGGGGCAGAGCCTGGGCGGGGGGCTGGATGTGGGGCAGGGGACCTCGGCACTGCCCCCGTCGGAGCTCTCGGGGGCGCTGCGGGCCCGGATGGAGGAGCGGCTCCAGTCAGCCCGTTTCCGCTACATCAACCAGCAGCTCTACACGTCCAGCAGCCAGGAGGCAGCCCGGCTCTTCCAGCACGACCCTGCTGCCTTCGCCATCTATCACCGCGGCTTCGCCCGGCAGGTGGGGCGCTGGCCCGAGAATCCGGTTCACCGCATTATCCAATACCTGCGGGGGCGGTGAGTGCAGGGCTGGGTGGGTGCTGCTGGGGGACCCCTGGCCCTGCGTAGGGGTGGGGCATGGCTGAGCCCTGGCGGGGACCCTGTGACCAGGGCCGGGGGTCCGTGGCCTGGCACCCACTCTCTGCTGCCCCCTCAGGCCGGCCTCGCTGGTGGTGGCAGACTTTGGATGCGGCGACTGCAAGATTGCGACCAGCGTCAGGAACAAGGTTCACTCGTTCGACCTGGTGGCTCTGAGCCCACGTGTCACTGTGTGCGACATGGCCAAGGTAGGGCAGGCGGGCGGCTGAGGCTGGGTATGAGCCGGCAGGGAGCAGTACGGGGGACGTGGGGGGGGGTCTCCCTGTGTTACGTTCCCCGGGGCTCACGCTGCTGGGTGGCCTTGCAGGTGCCGCTGGCAGACGAGTCTGTGGATGTCGCCGTGTTCTGCCTGGCGCTGATGGGCACCAATCTGCGGGAGATCCTGGAAGAGGCCAACCGGGTGCTGAGGCCAGGGTAACGGGGGCCTGGGAGAACCTGGGGGGCTGTGTGGCAGCACAACGCTGAGGGGTGGAGGCATAAAGCAGGAGCGTGAGGCCGGACCGTGAGGCACCGGGGCACAAACCCAGGAGAGCACGTCTCTAACAGATGGGCCTCGCCCCCCGAATCACTGCAGGGCAGCGTGTTGCTGCGACGCTGGGGGACCTTCCCCATCCCTCAGGGATGGGGCTTGAAAACTGGTCTCCCAGACCAACCGAAGTGGGTCCAATAGAAGTTCATGACGCCATGTCTCTCTGACACCCCGGGACCGACAGCCGCAGCTCCCCGCATGCAGCAGTAGTCAGGTCACTCCTCAGCCCGTCTCCCACCCCAGGTCAGCTGCTCTTTGGGTTTCACGCCAAAGAAAATGCTCTTAGCCTGTCCTGGGATAGACTCTCTTCAGATGTAAATGGGGGAGAGACTCCCACGGTTAGAGCAGCCAGCCAGACACAGGAATGCGTCGCAGTCCTAGTTTCCCAAAGGTATGACAGGCCTCTGTAACCAGCAAGCTCCCTTTGTCCTTCAGGACTAACCTGGGCTCAGCAGCTGGGGATCCTGCCCATGCTGAGAAACCCCTGCGCCCCGCATCCAAGCAGCAATGAGCTACTTAGTCTGATTGGTTTGGGATTTTTACCCTCCTCCTGCCGAGTGCTCAGAGGGGGGAAACTCAGCTGTTGAGAGGAGTCCACTCTTCATAGCAGCATGAGTCTCCTTGTTGCTGCTTCCTGAGCCCAGATGTGGGGGGTTGTAGGATCACCCCAGAGCCCGTCTGGTAACAGAGCGCTGCTCTTTGAGGAGGTGGGGGGAAGGGGTTAGGGGTGGAGCAGCAGCTGGTCCCACAGAATCTGAAATGGACCACTCTCATTACCACTTCAGAAGTTATTTTTCCTCCCTTGGTATCCTGCTTTTAATTGAATTGTCTCATTAGACTGTCTTCACACTCGCATCTTTTCATGTGTTTATACCTGCTCCTGTGTTTTCCACTCCATGCGTCTGATGAAGGGGGTTCTAGCCCACGAAAGCTTATGCCTAAGGTGCCCCAAGGACTCCTCGTTGTTTCTGCTGATACAGACTAACTCGGCTCCGCTCTGAAACCTGTACATTTTCCAGCAGCCTCTTGGCCTGAAAGAATATGCTTAATCTTCTGTCTCCCAAACAGTCTCGCAATTAGCGTAGTGTAATTTATCCATTAAACAGTTCAGATACAGTTTATCACAACCTTCAGACATAGACAATAATACTATTTCACTCAAGTATCATCCTAAATGTTAATATTCCTTTTTTGATCTTTGAATCAAAGCTATAGCAATAGACAAGACTTGTTTGCTTACATCACAAGCCCTGAGCAAACACCTCCCCTTCTACCTCTAACAATGCCGGCTGCATTTCAAAGCTCTGCTCATTTACAGATCTTCCTAACCAGTCTCTACAGTTCTGCCAGGGGTCAGGTCAGTCTGTGAGTTAATTAACTCCTTCTGGCCCTGTCACCTTTCAATGAGATGTTATATCACACTCATAACGTCACAGGCAGTGGTGGCGGGGAACTGCACAGAGCAGTAGCTGTGGGGGATACGGGAGGGGCAGTGAGGAGCTGCGCAGAGGAGTTGCGAGGGATGCGGGCAGTGGCTTGAGGAACCAGCCCTCACCCCTCACCTGACCTCTCCCCAGGGGCATGCTGAAGGTGGCAGAGGTTGCCAGCCGCTTCGCAGACATCCGGGCCTTTGTGAGTGCCGTGACTCAGCTGGGCTTTCAGATTGTCTCCAAGGTGCGTCCTACCCCCTCCCCATGCCGCAGGCAGGACTTGCCCCAGGGTCTGGGCAAGACAGGGCCCCAGGGGTGTGGGCTGCTGTGGGCAGGGTTGGGCCTGCCTCTGCCCCAGAGCTGCTGCTGCCCCCAGGATATGGTAGGGCAGGGCAGCTCGCTGGGTCGCTCTTGGCCTGTGTCTGGCTAGGAGGCCCATTGGCAGGGCTGGGCTGTGGTGGCAGGTGCAGGGGAGCGGGGAGGTTGTGGTGGGGTGCAGCAGGGGGGTGGGTGGCAGCGGCAGGAGCCAGTGGGTGGGTAGCAGGTGTGGGGAGAGGCTGGGGGGCTGGCGAGGAGCGGGCATGGGGGGGTAAGATGGGCTGGGGGGGTGCAGTAGAGAGGTGTGTGGGGGGTGGTGGTAGGAGCCAGTGGGCGGACAGCAGGTGTTGGGGCGGGAGGGGCTGGTCTAGCTCCCATCAGCTGTTTCTCCCCTTGCAGGACCTGGACAATCCGTTTTTCTACATGTTTGATTTCTCCAAGACGGGGCCCCCCCGGGCTGGGGGGAAGCTGCTGGGCCTGGCGCTGAGACCCTGCCTCTACAAGAAGCGCTGAGGGGCCCCTCAGCTGGTGTCTGCCCTGGGGCCCCACCCCTGCCCTGCTGGGGGCCCCACCCCTGCCCTGCCTGGGGGCCCCGCCCTGGGGGCCCCACCCCATGCCCTGTCCCGGGGGCTCCGCCCTGGGGGCCCCACCCCATGCCCTGTCCCGGGGGGCCCCACCCCTGCCCCGCCTGGGGGCCCTGCCGCATTGGGGGGGCTGGGGAGCTGTTTAGTCTCCCAGACATGCCTGGGGGGCTGTGTGTGTCTGCCCCTGGAGAGGAGGGGGCGGTGTGCGTCGGGGG